GAGAAAACGGGGCCTTTTAGTTATTTATTTATTTTTTTACAGTGCTCCTGCAGCCTGTAAAGGTTATTTCCTGGCTCATGAGAAATCCTTGACAACCTTTGATGCTTCCAGCTTTCTGCAGCTCATTGCTTCTGTTCTGTGCAGTTTACATGTAGCCCTGCATAGAGGCAGCCTGCTTGGCTTACAGATGTAGTGCTGTATAGCATCTGCGTATATGATCTGCTCATTATATTCATTTGTTTGAAAGGCCAGTGTAGTTTCCGGTGTGGCTAAATCATATTGACTGCCAGGAGAATCACTGAAACCTTTGAGGGCTGCCAGGAGCCTATGCTGCTTTCCTGGGGATCAGCAGAGAAGTGACCTTTCACTTGAGATTTTAAATTTCTGCTTTAGGAAAATACTCCGAGTTTTTGCTGAATGCCCCTTACCCCCATCCCTTGTTGTGGTTGGATTTTGGTAGTGTTGACTGATGTGGTACCCATGCGGTTCAGAGGGCTAGTGTGGCCCCCTTAATTGAGGCTCAGCTCGGAGAGGTGATCTCAAGCCAGAAGGGGGTGGAGGGAGTAGCAGACACCTGGAGGAGATACAGTACCTAAAGCTGTCAGAGATCTTTCCAAGGCATCATTTTCTGTGCCTGTAGTTATGCCTGCCTTGTGCTGTGCAGCTTCACAGTTGAATCATTTAGGCCATTTGCAAGTTTTACCTTAAAACTTAAGCGTTTCCCAGAGTCTCTGTAGTGGGTCGAGGTGGGGGCAAATGCTGTTTGCGAGCAGAAGAGCATTCCCCGTTTCCTGTCTGGTGCTCGGGCTGCTCGTACGAGTTTTGCTGGTGTGTCCGAGAGAGGTCTGCCATGATGCAGCGTGCCAGCGGGAGCAGGCAAAGCAGCCCAGGCTACACATACAGGAAAGGTTTTGCCAGGGACCAGGCTGGATTAAGTGGTTACTCCCTGGCCTGCACTCAATTTCCTGCCTCTTTTTGTCTTCTCTTATTGCAAGCTGCCGCTGACTGATCCGTGGAATTAAATTATCTGGCTCTAGAGAAAGGTGTTTTGCACAGATCTCATTTAGAGAGCGGGCAGACAGTTATGGCAGCATTACTGGGGAAGATGTTCCTTGTGGGCGAAGGGAAAAGGGCAAGAAGAGGGCCTGCAAATGGGCAGGTGGAGAGCAGGGTAGGATTAGTAATACCCTGTGTAGGATTCACCATGACTATAACGTGTTGTGCAAGCTCAGCTCTGTTCTAGCAGTAAAATGCCCCCTTGCGTGGGTGACTTATTCCACGTCAGGATCTGGAATAAACCTTACAGCAAAGCCACTGTTGCTGATGAAAAGTTGGAGGTGGGTCAGAGGAGGTTAGGGTTTGCCCGTCTAGTTATAGCCATAATCTTTTTAGGTATGTTTGGGTTTGTGAAGGCGTGAGCTGAAAGACATTCTTTATTGTGGCTTTGCCGACTTTAATTAAAACATTTATTGGGTTCTTTCCGGAAATGTACCTGTTGCTCCATCCTGACTGATTTGTTTTCATTGCTGTCTCCATGGACTGGTTTGCAGGTTCTGTTTTTTGTCCCCGTGTTGTGGGTCAGCTTCCTGTTTGGGCTGCTGTTTCTCTGTCTGCTTAACAGTGGTAAGTGAATATGGGGGCAGAAAGCAGGGAAAAAGCCCTCAGCACTTGTTCAAACACAGTGTGAAGAGGTTCTGGAGTTCAGCAGGCTTTGGGAAAAACCCTGGCAAATGTATATTCCTGAGAGCAATTGCACGGGAACTGTGGATGATTTTGAAAACATTTTGTCATTTCCTTTCTATCTCGTGGGACTGCTTTGAAGACCTATGGAGTGTACGTTTTCTTAGTAAATCTCTAAAAACCTGCAGGCAGGCCTAGCGGTACAGGGAAATGGAGGATGATGAAGTAAGAACGTTTATGTTGAGGGGAATATGCTTATATGCGCGTTGATGGTTGCTTTGTGAACCTGCGTGTTCTTCTGACAAGCTGCTGAGGTGTGAAACCTTCCTGTGCTTTGGCCAGAAGGTGAAGATGACTTTCTCAGGGAACCTCTTGTAGAGAAAATGCTGCTTTTGAAATGCTTGTGTCTGTTCTTGCCCTTCAGCAGGCAGCAGCAGGCCAAGCGAGGCACTTACTGAGCTGTGGAAGAGACAATGGTAGCGACCCCTGGCTAGGGTCATCCTTGAATTTCCAGCTACCACACAAAGTGCTTGTTCCCTTCCCTGGCCCCCACCCCCACGTAACAGCTGGGAGACTCTCTTACTGCCTCCTCCGATGTCACTGTGCCCAAATTAACATAGGTTTGGCCGTCTCCAAGCGTCGGTCCCCTTGTCCAGTTGCCACCGCTCCGTGTGCACTCGGACTGCCGGCGCTGCTGGTCTGCGGATGCGTGTGACAGAGCTCTGCGTGCCGAAGGGCCCAGAATGGCTGGGCTCCTGTGTAAAAAGCGCCGAAAAGCAGGTACGAAAGCTTACGTTTGCAGCAAGAATGCATTGCTCAGCTGTTGGTGTAGGACATGGGCTTTCTGTAACCAGGGTTCGCTCTGGGCAGCAGCCTCTGGGAGGCTTCCTCCTGAAGCAGCAGTGCTTTGCCTTTAGCAATTGGAGAGCGTGTTTTGATCCTGTGGAACTGGGCCAGCCACATTGCACTTGAAGACCAAGCGTAAGGGTCTTACGTGGCTGCTCTTGTGATGAGGCACTGCTGAGGGAGGGGGCTTAATGCACAAATCTATATGAATGTTTTCTTTCAGATTAGCAAATTACTCAGAAACAAGGTGTTAGGAGGAATATGGAGATCATTTTGATATTTTAAAAAATGAACGTGTATATGACATTGAACTTTAGGGACTGAAAACAGTTCAGCTGCTTTTAAGAGCAGTCTGGCTTAAAATGTATGCAGTATCTTGTTTAGATAGCCTACACTGAAGATAGTACTGTGTGTTCACTGCCCCATGGACCTTACCAGCCCCCTTGTATGTCTGCAAAGCATTCAGTGCAGCAGTGACCTGAGCTGGCTGGACACTTGGCACTCCCTAATGCTGTAATAATGAAAGGGGAGTAACATCTGGGAGGAAGGTTGGTACTTTCAAAAGGAGTGTGGTTTAAATGGGATGTAGGCAACTATAGTCATCACAGTGTTGTAAATATCTTCACCTGCAATGTTTGGTTTTCACACAATTTTATTGGTGCTTCTTGTGGCCGCATTCCTTTTGGAATCACAGTGCAAGAGCTGCTCGAGTGAGAAAGCTCTAATTGGCACCATACAAATAGCTCTGGATAACATGCTGAGAGAGCTGTTTCGGTCCGTTGCATGAGGCCTCTTAGCTCCCTAGCTTTCATTTGAAAGTTTTTCCAAAATATAAGAATGAATGCGTAAAAGGGACAATTAAGAGTTTCTTTAAAGATGGCACCTACTCCGAAGGTTAAATCTCAGTCTGCAGCACATGTGTGCTGTATACAATTGTGAATGCTGTTCTGTTCTCTTCTCTTTGCGAAAGGTACACAGCACAGAAAACAAACTGCTGGTTACTGCCAGACCCCTTCCCGCAAGCTCTGTGCCATATTAATTCTAACCAGCCACTCTGACGTGGTTCATGAGGCGTTAGATCTTAGTCTATGAGACTGGTGTTTGTTTCTTGCTTAAGAACAGCATTTCACAGCTGAGGATTTTTGTTGTGCATAATATCATGCAGTAAATCTTGGAGCTGCCATTAAGAAGTGTGGTAATTTGCTTGAAGCATCTTTTCATGTATCTGTGAGAAAGGAAGTGGGGATTGTAGTGGGTTGTTAGTCCCTGTACTCCTCTCAGGCAAGAGAATCTCTGTTTTCCCCCCTCTGCAGAGCAGGAGAGAAGGCAAGTACTGACGGAGGATTTGGTAATGTTTGCACACTGCCTGCAAATGATTAGCCTGTGGTTGGATTTTCCAACAGGAAAGGGGAATAATGACTGTTCTTGAAGGAAGTGCCTGTTGGGATACTGTGACTCTTAGGTAACTCCTTCTTCCTCCAGAGAAGCTTACTTTGCAGATTTTCTGGTTATTCATCTGGCAATCCTTGCTTTTCTCCTGAAAGAGTATCAGACTTCAACTCCCTCTCCCAAAGGGGACTGAAATACCACAAATACCACCACAAAAGATCTTAGCCCATGCTGATACAGCACTGTCACTGAATAGAAGGGGTTTATTACTGTCTTTGTAGCTCCTAGTTCAAATGCATGTATTTCAGTAGTCTGACTTGCAAGAAGTAATTGTTAGCTGAGTTTACAGAATGTAAAAGCATTATAGCAATGCTAGTGCTTTTCTTATTGACAAACTCTACATAGATACTAAACAATTACTCAAAAGTTTTCCTCAAATTCAGCTCCTCCCATGTTGTGGAAGGTAGGGAAGTATTTTAGTATACATTTTACTGATGCAGGGTACTTGACTGACTTCACCAAATCGGAGTTGTAGGTTTCGGATAAGAGCTTGGAATCACAGATTCCAGATTTGTGTTCCCCTGACTATGCTGCATCTGTCTTTTAGCCAACAGCAGTGCTAGAATTAAATACATTTTCATCCTTATTTGATAAGTCTCCCCAGGATTCTTTGAGACTTTTTAATAAGATCAATAGCAAACAGTAGTTGCTGTGGTGGAGCTGTCGGAAAAGGAGTTTGGCTGTACAGTTTGCTGTCTGCTCTAGATCTGGGGCATCCTGCAAGTGGGGCTCACATCCTTTCTTTTTGGAGAAACAAGCACTCAGAGGTTGCTCTTACCACAGAATTGAGTCGCTTGAAAATATTTTCATCTGGTAGTCTGGTGACTTTAGTTTAATAAGCTATAAAAGGATGTTACATTGATATTATTTTCCGCTGCAGCTGCAGTTCCTAATTCCATTAACTGTGGGCCCATTTTCAAATGGGCCTAACAGATGTTTTCTCTTATTATTAATACCCTCTTCTACCTTACATATCTTGCAAACTTTGCATTTATTGCACTCTTTCTATTTTTTCTTCTTTTTAGTGAGCGACCTGCAAGAAGAGGGTAAAAATGCTATCAACGCACCAATGAACCCCAGCACCGTGGACATTCATCCAGAAGATACGCTACTAGGTACAGTATTCATGCTACAGGCCTAGACTCACTAGGTATTAGTGAAGATCACTGTGGTCCCATACCCATTGCTTTACTGTGGAATATAGATTGCTCAGCTGAAATCGAGAGAATTGAGTATGAACTGTTGCATGGCAGATGTAGAGTAGAAGGGCTAAAAGGGAATTTAAAGAGCAAAATGCCAGCTCTGCTCTTAAACTAAGTAGATTATAGGAAATTATAGTGAAGTGGCAGAGCACTTGAGTTCTTCTGTGGTTATCGTGAAAGCAAAAAGTCGGCAACTGTGAAAAATTAGATGGAAAATACTGCTGAATTTGTCTGCTTAATTTACTTCATTCCTATTAACCCGTTGTCCCAAGTGCATCTCAGTCTTTGTTTATCCTCGCAGATATCCTTCTGCGGTAAGATAGTATCTTCTCCATACATAGATAGGGAACTGAGGTGCAAAAGCACCAACATACAGCAAGTCTACAGCAGAAATGCATGATATGGTTCCTAGGCTCTCTTGGAACCCTTAAACCACCTAATCTCAGTATAGATACTACAGTGTTGTTAACTAATGGATGCCATGTTCTGCCTTTGATTGTTGCTGACGCTTTGCACATTGACTGTACGGCAAAATGAGATCTGATACTGAATGAACAGATGAGCATTTAGGCTGGGAAAACAACGATTAAATGTTATAAGGACAGAAGTTTATAAGGCAATGGACGCCTTATAGAAAGGAGGTAAATTTTCAAATTTTTATTTCTTTTTTCCCCCCCCTCATGTATCAAATCTTGTTCAGGGTTGCAGTTTGCAGATTTTTGGGGTGTGTATTGGGTGTCACTTCCTTACAGCTAGACTGCCTGACTCATCCCAGGGAGTAATGAGGAAGTAAAGGAAAGAAAGAAAAAAAAAAAGGAGAAGAATAATTCATGTTTCTTCCTAGGTTTGTGGAAAATTGTCAAGCGTGTTCAGATAGCAGGGACTTTTTTTTTCATACAGAGGCCCTGCAAAATACCGAATCCAGATGTTTGGGGGAGATGTAACACGACCCAGTTAGACTGTATAGTCTGTCTTGTACCTATGATGTGTGAATCTCATGTTTCTCATCTAACAGCAATGAAGTCTAGCACTGTAACGGTGGTCAATGTGGTTTGGTCATTGTGCAGATTTTAAAGGGTTCCTCTGCGCCAGGTGACTCGTGTGACCTGTGGTCGCATCAAAACCCCTCCTTTGTTGTCATACTGGAAGGAATGTTGACATCCAGCAATGCAGTACCGCCAAGAAATGCTTAATGTAATTGAAAGCTGCAAATGGCATAACCGTATCAGTGCAGTGATCCAGCGGGGTTTAATTAGTTTTTCTGAGAAGTGGATCCAAGCAGAGTGCTGCAATGTGGCTATGATACTTTCAGGATTGAAGCTTGGCACCCTCAATTCAGCAGAATTAGGGTTACCAGCACATTCACACTTGGCTTTGGTATTTGAACATGGTGTTGCTTTTAGGGAAGGGTAAGTGTGTCTGGCTTCCATCCACGCGAACTCGAGGGAAACACAAGCAGGCTGGGCTACCTAAGTGAACTGCATGGGATACACTGACTTTATCAGAATTCAGAGATTTCTTCCACATAAAGCTCAGGCAGGTAAATGCTTGTGTGTGATTGGCCATTGACTTCAAATAAACATCATTTGCCTATTGGCTGTCGAAACTCTCTGCTAAAGATAAGCATTTGCAGAAACCATGGATTTATTTTAGCTGAAGAGAAGTGGATCTCCTCACATAGCTGTGATACCATCATCTATTCCTTTGTTCCTGTTGTGTCGTAGCCAGGGTGTGCTCTCCACTTAAAGGAACTAACTTAGATCACAGCTTATCACAGCTATCGCAGATCTAACTTAGGCCACAGCTATCACTTGGCTGCTAAAGGAACTGAAATGAAGGGTGCAGGGAGAGGTCTACTCCTTGAAAGCAAGCACCAGAATTTAAAATACCAGACTTGCTCCAGCTGCTTCCTAAATATTGCTGCCCTTATCTACGGTAGAATTTAAACATGCATTTGATGCATGCATCCTTGTGCGCTGTTGTGGTAAAGACAATCTAGCCAAAGGATGTTTAGCTCAGTCAGATTAACAACTAAAGTTCACTGCTGGTATTTCTGTGTCAAATCATCCCTTGTGATAATTAATCTTTACATGCATGCTTCTTGTGGTTGTCCTGCTTGCCATTGGAGCATGTTTCTCACATCTTTCCATCTCACAGCAATAGAAGAAATAAAAGACTGTACCCCTGAGAAATCTACTTCATGTCCTTCCTCCATGCCCAAATATAAATGATGTAAATTGAACTCATTTTCAGTACAGGTTAACTGCAGCTTAAGCAATCCATGCACTCAGGGCAGCATACTTGTGACCCTGTGATGTGCCTAGTTTCAGGGAACAGGAGAAGAGAGGCACAGACCATTACCCCAAGTCTCAGCTGTTGTACCGAGTGTAGTGCCAAAAGTTTGCTGGACTCTTCAAGATGGTGTTGTTTGGGAAGGGTTGTTTCATGGTTGTTTCAAATATGAATTAAATACAAATCGAGAGCAGGAAAAATCAACTAACTGCAGGTTTTGGCATGGTAATATTAATATGCAGCACTTAGTATTGAGGACGGTGATTTTCCTGGTGTATTCTGCGTAAAGAGGATTTGAGCTAAGGAAGGTCAGTGGAGACAATCTTTATTTTAGGGAAGTTAGGCTTGTGTAATCTTTCTGTGTGTCTCTGAAAAAACATGTCTAACACTTTGATCATTGGATATTCCCTTGCAAGGATAATGACTAGGCGCTGTCATTTCTTAGTCAGCTGCCAGCCCACTTCATGAATAGTAATTGTTGCATTATTCTCAGCAGTGTACGTTTGGGGTGGATCTAACTAAAGTTTCCTGTTTTACTTGGACAGAGGAGAATGAGGAACGCACCATGATTGATCCTAACTCAAAAGAAGACCCCAAGTTCAAAGAACTAATCAAGGTAGGAAATCAGTATTTCGTCCATTTAAAAATCTTTAAATAGTGAGCCAGCGTCATTTGCAAGCTGGTTACCAAGAGTACAGTTGAGGAGTAAGAGCTCATTACTGAAGTATATCTGTGAAAACTGAGGTCACCAACACGGATGAAATTGGGTAAGGCTACAAGCAACAGCAACAGAAACAAGAAAAGGGTGAATGATGTCAGAGTGCCTGTGGTAGTTATGGAGTGAAGCTCCATGATCCATTTATGTTCTTATGATTATCAAAGTGAGGATCAACGCTTAGCTTGAATCTAGCTGCAGTCACCATTCTTCTCAGTGACACATGAACCTAGGCTCCCTATCATGACGAGAACAGGGAAGGAGTCTAGGAAAGCAATAGTGAGATTTCAGGAAAGGAAAGAGTAGGACTGAAATGAACAAGGGAATGGTAGTGGAGATGTAGAGGGAGATCTCTGACATTATAGGAAGGTGGTAAATGAGATTCTTTTTGTCCTATCTTCTGTTGTTGCTTAAAAAAAGAAGCAAAAGGAAAAAAGGACACTTCCAGTCATGAGAATTTTTCTGCACACAGATGCAGGCTTATCTGCCCTCAGTTCTCATACTGAATGGCATCACGGTCTCTCCGAGCATAGACAGAGACCAACAGAAGAGTAAGTTGATCAACTGCCTTAGCTAATCATGTGCACTTCCAGCCCATTGTATATGTCAAGAAAAAGGTTAGGTTAATGAATGAATGATTTGCTGTCTCACAAGAACTTGCTAACTCATGACTTGGTAATTCAGTTGCTCACAAGTTCTTAAACATGAGTTTATTCTGGTTATCTTCCACACAATTCTCATCACTTTTACTGTGACAACGGGTAACTCGACATTTATAAAAAGACCTTGCCTGTGCTCTTCTTGAACTTCTTTGAATTATTGGTCTTAATGGCTTATTAGAGCAGAGAGTTCAGTGGGCGTTTCAGTTCTGTTGGTCAGGATGTGGAAAGAAGCTTGGTTTCGTTTGTTTGCAGTGGCTCTGCCTCTCATATTTCTTTCTCTTTGATTATCCCTTTATTCATATCCTGTGTGGCTGGGAGGTTGAAAGTCCCTAGTTTACCTGTGTGCAAGGAAATGGGCCAGATTGTCCAGCATCTATATTATCACTGGAGATACCTGCCCAAGGTGTCAGGGATGACCGTGTTCCCAGCTGCACTGACATGAGATGTGGCTTCGGGCCTCAGGAGTGCTCACAGGTTGTGCTGTGTATGATGAAGGGTTTGATCCTGAGAGACTAGTGTTTAGGAGAACCATTTCGATGTGGTTGAGTGGTTGAGGTTAACACAGCGAAAGCTTGAGCAGGAAGAGAAGTGCTGGCAGTTCTGAATAACTACAACCTCTTTCCAAAAAGCTTTTGTGCTTGCCTTTTACTTCCTGCTACATTTCCTATGGATGAAGAGTTTTTAAAAAATTGTTTTTGTTAGAAACCACAATGTAGCTATGGTTAAGTGGGTCTGAAAACTTTGGATGATGTATACCCGCTCCGAGCAGGGGGATGGGCTGCTGCACATTCCTTTCTGGAAACCTTATGTGCGCTATGTACGAACGTACGCTTCACAGAACACCTCAGCAAACTCTTGACTTTGTACATCTTTAAAATAAGCTCGCTGAGCTTTTATTAGCACTGCAGTAGCATGGTTAGGATTACAAAACCACATCCAACCCAGTTTAGCAGGGAGCTATGCTCAAGTTTCTTTGTTATTCTAGTTCACCTGGAATATATTGTGGTTTTAAATTAGGTGAATTTGCTCATTCTTTCTTTGTTAATACCCAAATCCATTAATTCTCTCGAAAGATACAGTGGTCTCACACCGCTCTTTCAAAACATGCTGTGGTTTCCTTGCTAGTGGAGCAGAGACTTTACCATGAATAATTCAGCAGAACCAAAGTGGTTGCAGTGAAGGAACCCAGTGCGCTCTCTGATGTGGGAGACGTGATACTGAGATTGCATTTGCTTTGTTGAAGTAAATTGGAAACTCTGCTGTTGAATTTAATGCGAATTGGAGCGTCTTCCAGGGATATCATACTTTAGCAAGGTTAATATTTTTTGGTTTTAAAAACCTGAAAACTTTTCCAAAAGGAATGAAAATCAGAGCAACATCAGCACGTGTCTGAGTGCTTACACTGCGTTGCAGAATCAGGCTCTGGTTCACTCTGCCAGGACACACTTGTGTGAAGTGCGAGTAACGTATTACCCATTAGACTAGAGCAACCGGTGCAAGAAACAGCATCTGACTAGGAATTATTTCCTCAGAGTCATTATGCAAGGAGAGAAAGATGTCCTGTAGAGTGCCTACTTGAAAATGATCTGATTTAGGTAGTTGCCAAACATTTGCATACCTCTCATCAGGTGAGAGTTTTCAGAGCGATTTAGCCGGAGACACATTCAACTTTATGTTGGTGTCAATCTGTAAACCAGGGAGGGGTTTGAATTATGTTGGCAAAACCGTTTTATACCATGGAATTTGAGTAACTCCAAAAAAAAAAGGAGCAATTTATTCCTTGTTTTGTGTTCTTCAGTGGTTAATGAACCTTTCCCAGAGCCCCAGTGCTGGAATAGAACTGGCCATGTGAAGTGCTACCCCTGTAGCTTTGCCCCGCAGAGCTTGAAATCAAAGGTCTCCGTAGTCTAGCAAGGAGTGAGGAGTGGGACAGATTGAGGTTTTTATAGTTCAGAATGGTTCTGTGTTTTGTCTCCTCAGGGATGAATGGGATAATAGCAGCAATAGTGTCTGGTGCCTTTTAAATTTGGCAATGTCTATTAGTTTCACTGGTGCCAGCCCAAATCTCTTTCGACATCAGAGGTAGAAGAGGTGCCAACAGTTTGCCAGCACTGATTTTGAGCGTTTCTGTTCTCCTGTCAGTCACGTACAGTCAGGGTAAATGGAAACACGGTGAAAAAGGAAGCAAGGCTATCTGATGCTGACATTGCTTTAATATCTCTTTGTCTCTACAAAATAGTTTTCATTTGTGCTAGCCTGATGCCAGAGGAATTATATACGTAGTGGATTGATCAGTGCAAGCTTTTGTGAGTGTTTGGAAGTGATTAGGAAAGGGCTGTTTTAGCTCTGGAGAGACAGACCGTATAACATTGTGGTAATGCAGAAAGACCGAAAGGAAAAAAAAAAAAAAAAAAAAAAAAGAAACCATTTCTTAGTCTTACCAAAGCAGATACACACTGAATCCCCCTTGTTGAAGGCTGTGCGGTTGGGGATGCTGAAATAGATGGTTTAAATGTTCTTGTACCTAAGAAAATGATCAGGAACTAGAACTATGACTTAAAAAGTATTGTTTGTTATAATCGATGGTATTGTAAAAATAGTTTACCATAAATTGTCAATGTGAAGTGATGTGTTCAGATAAGTTCCCTTTATGGCCAGCAGCCTTTTTTTTTTTTTTTTTTTATCCCTCCCACTGCATTTGGCTTGTATGTAATCAAATACAGTTTGATACATGGCTGAGGAGATACTTTTAAGATGAGCAGTGTGAAATTTGCTGGAAGACTCAAAGCTGCAAGTTCAAATCAGAAAATGAGAGATGAGTTGCACTTTATCTATATCTGTATATCTATATCCAAACATACATGTACACACAGATATATAAAGTAATTAATTTACAAAATCTGTTTCTTATACCTGAAGTGTTTGAGCTTCTCTTATTCATTGTCCAATATTTGCCAAGTGAGAAGCGTATAACTAAAATTCAGTATTTGAATTTCAAGCTTGGGCTATTTTGTGATTGGACATGAGGTGTCCTGGGATACACTCTTTGTTGTTATTTGCTTCAGTTATTGGTAATGGTTAAAATCAAGTTTGTCATCTGCGTGTTACTGTGAATTTGTTTAAAATTCAATGTCTGCTAATATCTTCTAAAATTCCCTTAGTTTATCCATGTCACTAATTCTAAAGAGTATTGGGGGTTCTTCTAGCTCTCTTTTGAATACTTTCACAGATCAGGAGGCTGATACATTTGTGTGTTCCATGTTGTGCACAGATGTTTCTTTGTGTATTGCATGTAATGGTGGAAGGAATTTTTTTTTCCTTCTGGTATTTTTTTTTTCCTGGACCAATTTTATGGCTTGTTTAGATTCACTGTGGTGAAGAGAAAACCAAAATGAAGCTGTGGAGTTTTGTGCCCTTTCGGTAAGGTTTCGCATGTCACCAAATCACATCTTGCTTCTTAAATGCTCTATGGTCCGCTTTTAAAAAAGAAAGACTCTTCTCTTTGTTTGCAGGTTGCCAGAGCTTTGTGGTTAGACAAAAGTTTCCAGACCTGCATATGATTTTTCTATATGAATTTCCAGGTTCAACCGTGAAGTCAGTAACAATTTCAAACCTTTGAGTTTTGCTTCCTAATTCTCTCAGCTCCCAGAGGGGAAAAAAGGGTCATTAAAGTCAGGGTTTTCTTTCTTTGCTGCTTCTGGTGACTGGGTTTCCTGTTTTCCTATTGCACCAGATGCACTCATATATTTTGTCTTGTTTTTCATTTGGTTCATTACTATGTCGCAGTGATCATGGGGTACTTATGCCCTTGAACTCTGCAGATTAACTCTGAAAGTGCCTCATTGCCATGGGAGCAGTCAGCCTGCAAAACAGAAATGCTTCACAGAGCTGGTATAGTTTGATGCAAAAACCCATCTTGCATGAATTAAAAAACAAATGAGCCAGGCAGACTCATTTTTCCTTCTAGATCTCTAGCACCGTTTTATTTCAGCTGTCACCCTCATGGCAACTTTCAGTTTTCAATCCAGTGTTTAGTAATGCAACATGGCTCATTGAATCAGACACACTTGTTTGGCCAAAAAATGGTGTAATAAATATACATGTCAGAATTTAAAGCACTGCTGGAAATTTTATAACTGCAAACACATGTGCCTGAGTGTTTGATGCAATTCAGGGATGTTTTCTGTGAGTATGGATGTTCATGAAAGGGCAGGCATGGTGTTGAGGACATGGGGATATTATATTAAAGTTTTAGCATCACGCTTATTCTTCAACCTATAGAAGACTTTACAGAAAAGTGGCTTTCTGTAAAGTTACAATCCAGCAAGGTGCCATAAGAAACACTGAGAGCCTCGAAGCGCTGAACAAGAGGACGAGCCACGGACGCGTTGGAGACGTTTGCTGGATGTGGGATCAATCGGGGCGCGTGGGACTTTGCACTGGCTTTGCCAGCCCTGGTGCAGGAGGAGAGGCAGGGCTGGCACTGGGAGGAAGAGCGCTGCAGGAAAGCTCTTCCTCACTCCTGCAGGCTGTCTCTTGCACCCGTTACTTTATGCACCAAACATTGCCCTGACTTAAAAGTTAGCATTGAACTGCAGATATATAAAGTGCAGGCACAGAAGTGAAGGAACGGGGTAGAGGAGAGTGAGATTTGACAGGTCCAAATTAATTACATTTTCATGCATTGGAACAACTCTCTGGCTGCAACTTAGGTCTGCTTCCCACCAAGTACTCAGTGCCTATCAAGCTGTTTAACTTTTTAGACACTCAGGTTTTTGAATATTTTCTGCTTCTGTCTTTGCATAAAGGAGCAACTGTGAAGAACTAGAGAGCTGACTCTCCGTGAGAAAAGAGTCAAAAAGTATTTCTGCGTGTTAGTCATTTAAATAAGCCCAAATGATGTTGCTTTGTTCCCCTTGCAAAAGTTAAACAAATTAAAATGGGATGTTGGCTCCTACATTAAAAAGCTACTTTCAGGTTTTTATTTATAATCCATTAGCATTTTCTAAATTCAGACTTCAATGCCAGTCAGCACCGGAAAGAGGAAATAAAATGTTAATTACAGGTTTCAAAAGACTTTAGTGTTCTGAGTCTTCCTTTAACAGAGCGACTGAATGCTTCTGGAAATCTGGCCGCTTCATGTAAGGACTTAAATGAGATCTGATTTTAAATGATAGTTTCAGCTTCTTGAAATGTTTTTTGAAAGTCTTCCCTATAAATCTCATGGATGACTCAAATCTATGGCTTTGATTTCTTCAGTTGTTTTCTATTGATGTCTGTGTGTATCAAGCTCATATCACTGGAGAACTGCACAGTCACCTTATTGGCAGGCTGCAAAAATATGTTTTTAGATGATCTGGGACAAGAAAGTATCTAATTATCGAGGAGCTGCTTTTCTGTAGCACTGGTAGATAGTCTTCAAGACCAAAGATGGTATCCCTCTTCCCACTGTCTTTCAGCTGTGGCAGTCCTTCACTAGCTTAAAAACTCACTGTAACATCTCCCTCCAGCCCTTTACCATAAGTGTCCCTCTGTCCCCTGAAGAAAACCAAAAAGAGACAAGAGCAGCTAGGGAGGTTTTTCTCCAAATGTGGTCGTGGCTTCCCACCTGCGAAGCAGAGCCTTGCCACCTGTTTTATTGATGCTGCATCTTCTCCTGCTTAGCCTTTGCTGGCTATGATTTCTGACAAGCTAATTTTGGTTGATGTTTTCGAAGGAAACTGAGGGGTTTGGCACCCTCTTCCTGATGGTAGCGAACATGTTATGATCCTTGGAAAATCCCAAGGAGAAGAACTGAGCAGGAAGAGGTAACCTGATCCGGAGGTTGTCGAAGAAGTGTCCTGAGGATGGCTAGATGATGAAATGCAGGAAGAGCAGTCCTCTTGACGTTTTTCTCCCTCCCTGTATTTGATATGTATCAGGCACGTGGCACAGGAGTGAGATTGTTTCCAAGGCATGTTGGAGCAGGTGCTGGGAGACAGGCGTCCCACCATTTCTCCCTTGACCACAGGCCAAAGTAGAAGGAGGTCTGTTCCTGCCACGGCGGAGCACTGCAGTCCCCCTCTCAATCCAGGACCCCAAGTGCCGAGGTGTCCGGTGGGTCTGTGGGCTACATCTGCTCTGGGCTGCTGGAGCAGAGGAGGTGCAGTTGGCAATTCATTGGCAGTGCAAGTCGGGAAGGCACTACAGCAGGAAAGCACGAGGCAGGAGAAGGAGAAGGAGAAACTGGACGACTCTCCTGTGTAACCAGTGTAATGAGATGGATGTGAAAGAGGGTGAGAGCATGGGGCTTTGCTGTATGTGTGGAGGCAGTGGTAGCTGTAACCACACAGAGGAGGCCATCGGGTAGAGGGAATGGCCCAGCTGATAGATACAGTTCCTGTAAGGTTGCAGAGGACAAGTGGGGTGACTGAAGTGGTACAGGGCACGTCCTCAGATCTCTACATCTGTTTTTGAACATCATCTCCACCTTCCCTCTCCTTCCTCTAGAAAAAAACACTTTTGATGTGTTGCTGATATTGCCTTGTGAATAACTCGTCAGAAAAGTTTTGTGCTGAAAGGAAGATCTTTAGAGGAGTCACTTTTATTGTTGAGATTTTTCTTCCCTCTGGGCAGTTTAGAGGGGAAAAAACTATTTACATATGCGTGCATTGGATCTGATCTTTGCTCCCCGAAATGACTGGTTGCCATTATCTCCTAGCTAAAATTTGCCACTCATACACTATTTTTAGAGCTGAGTTTTTAGCCCTGCTCATTTTCAGAATGTTTTGAAGATACTGGAGTTACAAATTAGAGGTACATGAAGCATGAGCGTTCCAGGTTTGGACTGTAAACTTCATTGTGGACATTAAGCCTAGCAAAACTTTCTTGAGGTTGGTAAACTCAACGAACCTGGGTAGCTAGGCAGAATTAGTTAAAAATCCTCACGAACAGCATATTTAAGTGTTCGTATTTCCTACAATTGCCAAAGCATGTGTTTTCCAGTGGAAGGCTGTCTATATTTTGTTTTTGTTTTATAATTTCTTCAATACTAAAAAAAAAATTCTTAGCCGTCGTAACTGCCAAGTAGAGGCAGAAATATGGGGTGTAATCAGGAATGAATCTAAGGAATCCACAGTTTTATGTGAAGTAAATTAAGAACCTTACAATTTTTAATTCAGGCTCATTATTTCTGGTGGCTCTAGTTAATGGATTTTGCACGTCAGTGATTGGCAGTTCCGTTCTCCCCTTTTACAGTCAGGGGTTTAGCAGGAGAACATTAAATTTCTTCCCACAGAACTATACTATTGTTGCAAAAGTCCTTTAATTTTCCAAATATTACATTGGGGGAAAATGCTACTGCCAACTTCAGTCAACGCTATTTTTCCTATAACTGTTTGGAAATTATTGTCTTTGGCCCCTGGAAAACTTAAGTCAGTTCATTTTCTTTTTAAAATTCTTTATGCTCACTCCTGTTTTGCAGGCAACTGGATGAGTTTTATAGTTACGGTAATCAGCATGTGGGGACTATCATGTGTGTTGTAGAACGGCTGTCAGGCCTCCTTGACCAAAATTTTACTTCCAAACTTCCCTATTTTGCAATTGCTGTAACATGAAATGCCTTATCTTATTGCTGAATGGCAAGGATCCGCTTAGTGGATCTATTTAGCTCATGTTAATAGGAGCAGAGCCCACACTTCAGTGTCTGTGCAGGATAGAGACTCATGCAGGCAGTGCTTGGAGTCTCTGTGGTTGACTACATGCCAGCTAAGGTTTGTGGCACTGTTGTCCTCTACTTGTAGGTCTGCTGATCACGTAAAGCAGGTAAGACATGAGCTTTGGGACCCAGACTAAATAGATACTAGCAAATAATGCTGTTGCAGAGCGCTAATTGCTACTTACTTTAGAATTGGTGCAATAAAGAAACATTTTAATGAGGAAAAATAGAGGGCACTAAACTTCTTCATCTCTTCCAAGACCTGAATTAAAAGTAACAAAAGCAGACATATCTTTTCACCGTTATTTTTCTGTGATTTGGAAGTACATAAATATGGTAAACCTTCCTCTGTTTTCTATTCCTGATTATTGCCTGGGATGGAAGGAACGTATTTCAGTATTTTTTAGACTTTTGTCTCCCATTTCTGTCCTTCCAGGTTCTAATTGACTGGATAAATGATGTGCTGGTGGAGGAGAGAATCATTGTCAAACAGCTAGAAGAAGACCTTTATGATGGACAGGTGCTGCAGAAGCTGCTAGGTGAGTTCACACGAGAGAAGGAGGCCCTGAGGACTGGAAGGGGCCCAAAATCAATCCTCTCCGAAGCTGCAGGCGGCAGCAAGTCTGTGCAGTAACTCACGAGCTCACCAGAGGCGCAGATTGTTTTGCTGATAGCTGCAATGTCAGCTTCTCCATCTGTTCTCAGGCAGTGTTTTGGAAGGGGAGGAAATCCAGATGATTTTGAGGTATCTGATTCATGGACTAAGAATAGTCAGACAACTGTAAAATAAGTAGCAAAAAAAAGGTGAAGAGACGAATGTTTATAATGGGAGGACCAAGCAGAAGCTATGTGGTCCAAAATTTTGTCTGTGGAGTTCACTCCTGAAAGCTTTTGGGCTGAGAACTTTTTTGAGGTCGTAATAGAATTATTTTTAGAAAATTTTTTGACAAACAGCAAATGCGTGATCGCAGGCGCATACTCCTAATGTGCTCTTGTGCATAGGGAGGAATGGTGTGTGAAGGGTTACGCTCAGCTAAGCAGTCGTGATTTGGCAACCCCCTTGCCTCTTTGCAATCTAGTGTTCACTCAAGAAGCACAGTGGAAGAAAGTTCATATGACGATGCAGTGATTCATGGGGTGCTTCTAGCACACAAAGAGCCTTTAAGCTCCAAGTGCCATGATAAAATACACTCTGGTTGTCTCTTGGGAGACAGATAAGTAAAATGAAAGCAATCTGCCTCTGATAAGTTTTCAAGAGTGGGCTGGGATGTGGGCTGTATGTGTCAGAGTGGAGCAAGAGGATTTAATGATGCTAATTTCATTGGCTCTAATGGATGCTACTTACTGAATTTTCTGTGTATCCCACTTAAATAACAGACCTGCAGGGTTTTAGTGAACATACACAAGCTTTTAAACGTTGGTTAACAAAAATTGCTTTGTGTGCAATTAAAATTCCCCCGAAATAGCTTGAGGAGCAGATTGAGAGTGCTTTTAACACTGCTCAGTTAGACAGTAACTGAGACCCCTCCAGACATGGTGGGGTGAGGTGATGCAGAGTTAGCTTTGGCTGGGGAGTATTTACATGAATACAAAAGGGTTCCAGGTTTGGGCAGCATCCAGTGGGTTGTGTTATGAGACTTTTCAGCCCTAGCATGACATCTTTAAAGAAGGGTGTTCAGAAATCAGAGCTGAAGTTTTTTATTGTTCTTTAAATCTCTGTGTGGGTGATCTCGCCAGTCTTAAAAGCAGCGTATGCTCTCTCTTGCTGCGACTTCTCTGGAAACCCTTTGAAGTAATTGAGGTGAGCTGCTGTTGCTCTAAGAGTCCTTTCTGGGCTGCTGGGAGAAGCATCGCAGATAGACTTGCAAGTTTGCCGCAGTCTCTCCTGCTGAAGGTAACGACTGGTGTGTGACCATGGTCTGACTGCAGAGGATAAGAAGAGGGCAGAATCATACTTCCCAGTGTAGACACTGATATTTCAGCTGATGGTAGTGCATTTTATTTGCAGGCTTGAGGCTTTAGCTGCTCTGGCTGGAGGCTTTAACTGCGCTGCATCTTCTTCCTGTTGGGCCACTGACTGGAGAGCCAATGCATCTCCCTGGCCCTGAACGCCATCACAGTTTAGCCCCTGTCTCGTGTTGTCACAGCACAAGTTCTGCTGTGCTGGCTTGATTTCTTCAGCAAGAGGCGTGCTACTGAGTCTGTCCATCCTCACGCTGCGGGAGTGGTGTGAGGGGCCGCAAAGCACATCCCACTGGTGGTGGTGCTCCAGACGCTTGAGGCCTCGCAATTAAGCCAGCCATTGGTTTCACACCCGTCTGCTCTCCTTTGCTGACAGCAAAGGCTAACAAAGTAGGGTCATTAAACCTCAAACAGCCATTACCATTCCTTGCTTGGGAGAGATGTTTCAGGAAGATCTGTACCTTGAGGGGCAGACAGAAAAAATGACAGGGAAAGACAGCAGCTTCTCAGCAGGCTTACTCTGAAGCAGCTCAGAGATTAGCAGGTGGCTGTGTGACTGATTGAGAAGGGCTCCATGCCTGGTTGGTTTTGTCAAGGTGCAAGCAGTGCTCTGGAGAGAGGCTGGAGTAGCCTGGTATTGTCCGTGGTGGGGGGGAAAGCAAATCAGTTGCTACGTGGTGACTGGCAGGTCACCCGCGCTGAGAATAGATAGGAGTCATAACACTTGACCAAAACATGAACATTGTAGGATAGTGTTTTTTTTTTTTTTAAAGATATAAGGTCATTTAAAAACATATTTAAATGCTTTGGCAGTCAGTTTAGAAAAGACTTGGGGAGATCTTGGCTAAAGAGTGTTTTTCCCTTAATCTTTTTCAGATATTGATAAAAAAAATTTCCTACTCTGTATTGATAGAAAAAGTCCAAATGTTCAAAGCATTCATGAATTGATAACCTGTAAGTCTCTTCTGTTTGGTTTACTAAAGTACTTTTGTGTTTCTATCACTGTTATTTTTTTTGTTTGTTTTTATATCTATAGCTAAGTAGAATGTCCAAAAGAAAAGCCCTCCTGAATTTGAGAGCAGAAATATTTCCATTATTGGAATAACATGTTCTGACAACTCTGAAATGTTTCTAAAAGAATGCTGAAGCCTCTCCTGTCTTGTGAAAACTGTTTCAGTGAATATGAGGATTTTTTAAATTTTTATTTAAAAAACAGCAGTAATAATATGTAATTGGAATACGTTCAACCAGTCCTACCTTCCTAGTCCCAGCGGCACAGTGAGTTTGACCATTTTTTCATGAGGCTGGAGGGAAAAAAGAGATCAGCTGTTCCCACTACTCTGGCAGCTGGAGAGCTCTTTACCGTACCCTTCCCCGGCTTTCTTTTTGAGAGAAATTCAGTTCTGGTGTCTTTGGCGAGGACCACAATGCAGGGGAAGAAAAGAATGACTTGTGTATGATTTTGGCGACAAATAACTATATTACAGAAACAGAGTTCAGCTTTTAGTAATGGCTTTTAACAAAACTTCCTGCGCTAATTCAGTTTTAGAAGTAATCAGCCATCTTGACAACATGACAATATTGTACCAATTTACTTATTTTTTAAAATTATTTTCACTAAACCAGTATGAATCTACGGGTGGACACTCTTTTGAGGGTTTGAGGAGACACATTTTGCTTTACCTTAATTCACACCTTCAGCTGAGCTGAAATAAAGCTTGTTAGACTGAAGTAAATGTCCGCACAAGTATTTCTTTTTTTTTTTTTTAATTGTCCGAGATTAACTACTGTTATTAGAAAAGTCCATTAAACTGGTGCAAATTACAGAATCACAGAATCACAGAATCGTTTAGGTTGGAAGGGACCTCTGGAGATCATCTAGTCCAACCTCCCTGCTCAAGCAGGGTCCTCTAGAGCATATTTCCCAGGATCACATCCAGACGGGTTTTGAATATCTCCAGGGAAGATATCCACTACCTCTCTGGGCAACCTGTTCCAATGCTCTGTCACCCTCACAGCGAAGAAGTTTTTCCTCAGGTTCAGATGGAACTTGCAGTCTTTCTTCAGAGGAGAGGTGCTCCAGCCCTCTAATCATCTTGGTAGCCCTCCGCTGGACTCTCTCCAGGAGTGCCATGTCTCTCTTGTACTGGGGAGCCCAGAACTGGACACAGTACTCCAGGTGAGGCCTCACCAGGGCTGAATAGAGGGGCAGGATCACCTCCCTCGACCTGCTGGCAACACTCTGCCTAATGCACCCTAGGATCCCATTGGCCTTCTTGGCCACAAGGGCACACTGCTGGCTCATGTTTAACTTGTTGTCCACCAGCACTCCCAGGTCCTTCTCGGCAGAGCTACTTTCCAACAGGTCAGTCCCCAGCCTGTACTGGTGCATGGGATTATTCCTGCCTAGGTGCAGGACCTTGCACTTGCCTTTGTTGAACTTCATGAGGTTCCTCTCCGCCCACCTCTCCAGCCTGTCCAGGTCCCTCTGAATGGCAGCACAGTCTTCTGGTGTGTCAGCCATTTCCCCCAGTTTAGTATCATCAGCAAACTTGCTGAGGGTGCACTCTGTCCCTTCCTCCAGGTCATTGATGAATATATTGAACAAGACTGGACCCAGGACTGAGCCCTGGGGGACACCACTAGCCACAGGCCTCCAACTTGACTCTGCGCCATTCACCACAACCCTCTGAGCTCGGCCATCCAGCCAGTTCTCAAGCCACCTCACCGTCCACTCATCTAGCCCACACTTCCTGAGCTTACCTCGGAGGATGTGATGGGAGACAGTGTCAAAAGCCTTGCTGAAGTCCAGAAAGACAACATCCACTGCTCTGCCCTCATCTACCCAGCCAGTCATTCTGTCATAGAAGGCTATCAGATTGGTCAAGCATGATTTCCCTTTGGTGAATCCATGCTGACTACTCCTGATCACCTTCTTGTCCTCCAGATGCTTAGTGATGACCTCCAGGATGAGCTGTTCCATCACCTTTCCCGGGATGGAGGTGAGGCTGACAGGCCTGTAGTTTCCTGGCTCCTCCTTCTTGCCCTTTTTGAAGACTGGCGTGACATTGGCTTTCTTCCAGTCCTCAGGCACCTCTCCTGTTCTCCAGGACCTTTCCAAGGTGATGGAGAGTGGCCTAGCGATAACATCCGCCAGCTCCCTCAGCACTCGTGGGTGCATCCCATCGGGGCCCATGGATTTGTGGATGTCAAGTTTGGACAAAAGATCTTTAACCCGATCCTCCTCAACCAAGGGAGAGTCTTCCTTTCTCCAGCCTTCCTCTCTTGTCTCCAAGGTCTGGAATTCCTCAGGACTGGCCTTAGCAGTGAAGACAGAAGCAAAGAAGGCATTCAATAACTCTGCCTTCTCTGTATCTTTTGTCACCAGGGCACCTGCCCCATCCAGCAGTGGGCCCACGTTTTCCCTAGTCTTCCTTTTGCTATTGATGTATTTGAAGAAGCCCTTCTTGTTGTCCTTGACATCCCTTGCCAGATTTAATTCCAGCTGGGCCTTAGCCTTCCTTGTCGCATCCCTGCACGCTCTGACAATGTCCCTGTATTCCTCCCAAGTGCCCTGTCCCCTTTTCCACATTCTGTACATTTCCTTCTTCTGCTGGAGTTTTGCCAGGAGTTCCTTGCTCATCCATGCAGGTCTCCTGCCCGCTTTGCTGGACTTCTTCCTCAGAGGGATGCACTGATCCTGAGCCTGGAGGAAGTGACGCTTGAATATGAACCAGCTCTCCTGGACCCCTCTTCCTTCTAGGGCCCTACCCCAGGAGATTCCCCTAAGTAGGTCCCTGAAGAGGCCAAAGTCAGCTCTCCTGAAGTCCAGCGTTGCAATCCTACTCATTGCCCTGCTCCCTCCTCGTAGGATCCTGAACTCCACCATCTCACGGTCACTGCAGCCAAGGCTGCCCCCAACCTTCACGTCTCCAACTAGACCTTCTTTGTTCGTTAGTACAAGGTCTAGCATTGCACCTCTCCTCGTTGGCGTCTCCACCACCTGGGTCAAGAAATTATCATCAATGCTTTGCAGGAACCTCCTTGACTGTTTGTGCCTAGCTGTGCTGTCTTGCCAACAGATGTCAGGGTGGTTGAAGTCTCCCATGAGAACTAGGGCCTGTGGAGAGAAGGCTGTATTGTACTAAATGTTTTTTAGCAGTGAAAGAAAACAGGAAGCACAACTATTATTGCTAACTTGGTGCCTATCTGAAAGTTATATGTTTAGAAACCCGATTGGGAGCATGTTCTGCCAATCCTTACCTGTTCTCCACTGCAGGGTTTATTGGAGTTGACACACTTTGAGGAAAGGTTTGCTTTCAGCCATTTGTTTTCTGAGGGTAATCGCTCTGTTGTAAATTTTTAGCTGAGGCCAGCTCTGATGGCTGGTGCTCTGTGCTCTTTATTCCCACCCAGGCCCTTTTTCCATCTGATAACGCCTGTTCTTTTTTGTTTCTAAATACAGAAAAGTTGGCTAACCGTAAACTGAACGTGGCAGAAGTGACACAGTCTGAAATTGGTCAGAAACAAAAGCTGCAGACGGTGCTGGAAGCTGTCCATGACTTGCTGCGACCGCATGGCTGGACAATCAAGTGGAGCGTTGACTGTAAGGGCACTTTTCTGCCTCCTCTCTGCTTCCCAGACCGGAAGGATATAATAATCAGTAAATTGATCAGCTTCTCTGTGTTCCAGTGGTGGGTTTTTTTTATTTATTTGCATGGAAACTGTTATCAAATCCACATATGGTTTGTACCTAATACTTGCCTTCTCATGTAGTCTTTGTTTAAGCTTCCCCAGACATGCAGGGCTATGGGATAATTGAAGGATGTTTTCTGTTAAACATATGGTTTAATTGAAATGTTTTCTGTTTGCCTCCTGAAGTTGAATCCCTACAGCTATGAGAAATTTGTTAGATGTTCAGGTACTAGAAGATGGTCCAAACCTTCAGGCCACCGCAGTGAGAGGCAAAGGCCTGCTTGGAGATGCAGCTTTTGACAGGCTAAGCCGAAAGTGCACACACTTCCAGCCAGACCCATTACATTCCAAAAGTGAGAATGGGGTTTGAGAGGCCCGCTCATCCAGGTAGCGGGTGGTATTTGTCTCTCACAGGCAACCGAGCTTGTGCTACCACTTTCAAAGTCTGCTAAAAGCAGGATTTTGCAGTATTCTCCAGGGGAAGGAGAGTGATGATTGAGTCCCTCTCTTTTTCTTCAGTGACTAGAGAGGGAGCTGAAGTTTCTCCTAAGTTAGGTACATAACATGGAGGGAGGGCTGGATCAAGTCTTTGCTACCAGTCAAATTATTTTGTAAGCTTTGTTAGTTTGGGAAAAAGAAGGAAGAAGGAAAAAGAAAGACAGAAGACCGTTCCTCCCATAGACTTTTTTCAGTTCTACAGTTGTTGGGTTTTTTTTTTTTCCAGAGCTGCTTGTTTAAAGTCAGACTTCAGTATGCTTTCATTTGCTTCCTTTTCCTTCTTCCCTGCAGCAATCCACGTCAAGAATCTGATTTCCATTCTTCACCTTCTGGTAGCTTTGGCAATGCATTTCCGGGCTCCCATTCGACTGCCTGAGCATGTGTCTGTACAAGTGGTAGTTGTACGGGTAAGTATGAACTGATATAAGAATGTAATCAGAACGATCACTGGTTATCATGCTGATTTTATACTACAGGCTGCTGCTGTTGTCCCTCTGCCTTTTTTCAGTTAAAAGATTCTTGTCCTAGTTTTAGTGACTCCTTGTCTTGGGAACAGATTTTTTTGGTGTTTAAGTTTGGTCGTAAGAATATCGTATGCCTAATATGCTTGGGATCACTATTTGCTACTGCAGTATCAAGCTAAAAGCATGTGATGGGATTTTGTGTGAAAGAGAATGGTGCCTCTAACTTTTGGCATTTTTTAAAATCATTTTTGCCATGTTTTTTTTATAGAGAAGCCGTTCAAACACAAATAGCACAGGGAGAAGTTTCAGCAAGTAGAATCTCCCTTATCTGGGAATCATGTTACTGATGATGTTTTTTCCCAAAGATTTATTATACAGACTTTGACATGTTGTTTTCCTTGGTGTGCTTGGTGGCTTTCATCATTTTTTTCAAAGCCTTGTGTTTTTGTTAGCTTTCGTTAGTTATGGAGAAGAGATCTGACCTGAGGAACCTTGACTTCTTGTCTCGTGCCCTAGAGACTGCTGTAGTTATTCCTTTCTCTGTTTGGTGTTGACCGTTTCCTTTCAGTTTACAAAGATTATTTTCAGAGAATATATATATTCTGGCTTTTTATCTTGCCTTCTATCCCAACAGAGACTTCAATGGCAGTACCGTCTGTAGCATTTGAACTCAGCTTTTCTGAGCAGCTGTTGAAATACTGGGCAGAGCTGTTCCAGCTGGCCACTCTTCTGGTCACGCCATGACTGTTCGCAGTGGCAGGCAGCACTGCTGTTGCGAGGCAGGCTGTTACTGGCAGCAGGCCATGCAAGTGCCTTCTGTACGTTTACTGTTAGGGCTGTCGGATTCAAAGTAGGATCCCTTTCAAGAATAGGGAAGGTAAAATGGTCTCAAGCTCTGTTTTGCAGATGCGAATCCCCTTGGACGTGATGGAATTGCATGGTGGTTGATGAGGCAAGCCTCATTTTGTGTTAAATTAAATGATGACCTTTTCCAGGCTGCCTGCCTGAGTGCTCTAGAGGCACAGGATATGATGTAAATGGGTATCTGGTGAATACTTCCTAGCTCAAAATAAATGTATGCATTACCTTTTAGAGGTGCTTTTGAACTGCTTTCAGGCAGTTCTTTCAGGTAATCCTTTCATTTTAAGAACTGTGAGTTAGGTGTAAAGCAGGAACAGGAACAGAACATTGATTTCTTTTTTATCTTGTTTGATTATCTTAGAAGGATGTGGGGAAAAAATGTACGTATAAAGTGAAAACAGTCCTCTGACCCCCTCATACTACAAATGTCTCTCTGCCCTGTACAGTCTTCTGGACCTGTGATGTTTCAGAAAAAAGCTATAAGTAAAGAGGAAATGTTTCCCTTTCCTTGTCCTTAGTTTACAGCTCCAGGACTCCCCCTTGTAGTGGAGGAAAGGCTATAGAGAAGGTGGCTATACATCCTTTCATGTTAGAGGGGTAGAGAGAAGATACCTCCAGAGAAGATCTGGTTCACCAGAGTCTCTGAATCTTGATGTGAGACAGGGCTGAGGTGAGGGTGGAGTGAGATGAAGGCTGACAGAAACGAGGGAAAGAAGGAAACCGCGACTCCCATATCCCCAAGGGAGTGCTCAGAGGTGTCAGAGCAGTATTACGAGGTGAGTTAATACCGAGCACGAGAGGCCGACTAGAGTCTGGAGTCCTGGAGATGGTTATGGCAGCTGCTGGCTGTGGGCCTCCCTTAGCTGGGCCCATGCAAGATGGGGCTTGTTTCAATTCTCCTGTCCTATTGCTAGGCAGAGCTTGCAATTCTTCCACTTTTTAAATTTAAATAGAAGGCAAGACAAAGTATAAAATGAAGCATGTTTCTTCTGTAGTGTTCGTGGAACGGTAACCTTTGCCTTACAGTTTGGAAAACTGAATTTTTGTAGTTCAGCATCCACAATCTAGTATAAAAATACATGCTGATTCAGTAACACAGATCTCTCTAAATGAATGTTGGCCTTTGTTATACTAATGACAAACAGTAAATATCAAATTACTCCTAATCTAAATAAGAAAACTGTTATATAATAGATTATTATTATCAATATTATTGTTAAACGATCTCTTATTAAATATCCCGGTCATGATTAGGTTTCTGCCAAAGTAGATCATGATAAATATAAGGTATTTTATCTGAGAAGTATTTAAGTGCCTCTTCTTGCCTGAATGTGCATTTAAGGGGGTTAATCAATAGTTTGTAAAGTGACTTCTTTGTAAAATTGCAGAATTGACCCTGGAGCAAGAAAATCCTGCAAGATATTGTGGGAGTGTTGTGCGAGAACACACTGAAATTTTCAAAATCAGTTAAATCTCACTTTCAAGGGTGACTTAGGCATTTAGATTTATCATTATCAATTTGTTAAGCTGTTGGCATATCATGCAGCTTCCTCCCCAGAAGGGCAGTGCTCACAATATGAAAATCATAGAATCACAGAACGGTTGAGGTTGGAAGGGACCTCTGGAGATCATCCAGTCCAAGCCCCCTGCTCAAGCAAGGTCACCTAAAGCACATTGCTCAGGATTGTGTCCGGACAGCTTTTGAATATCTCCAAGGAAGGAGACTCCACAACCTCTCTGGGCAACCTGTTCCAGTGCTCAGTCACCCTCACAGCAAAGACGTTTTCCCTCAGGTTCAGATGGAACTTCCCGTGTTTCAGTTTCTGCCCGTTGCCTCTTGTCCTGTTGCTGGGCACCACGGAGAAGAGACTGGCCCCATCCTCTCGACACCCTCCCTTCAGATACTTATACACATTGATAAGATTCCCCCTTCAGTCTTCTCTTCTCCAGGCTCAACAGGCCCAGTTCCCTCAGCCTTTCCTCATATTGAGAGATGCTCCAGTCCCTTCATCATCTTCGTAGCCCTCTGCCGCTCTTCCTAATGCACCCCAGGATACCCTTGGCCTTCTTGGCCACAAGGGCACGTTGCTGGCTCATGGTCAACTTGTCCTCAGGACTCCCAGGTCCTTCTCTGCAGAGCTGCTCTCCAACAGGTCAGTACTGGTGCTGAAGGTGTGCTCTGTGCCTTCATCCAGCTTACTGATGAGTAAATTGAATGATATTGACCCCTGGGGGACACCACTAGCTACTGGCCTCCATCTAGATTTTGTGCCACTGATCACCACCCTCTGAGCTCTGCCAGAGTTATGCTAGCTTAGTAAGTTACTGCTTAGCCAAGTTAGCGTATGCATTTTCATAGCCCATCTCAGAACAATGCAGAATACCTTATCAGCTTGCATAAGTGTTGTGGACTTCTACTGTTCTGATTTTCAGTGACCTCCTCAGTAAAATGAAACAATGTTATGACAGCACTGTGCTACAGGGAAAGTATTTATCGAGATCTCCAAAGCCCTTCTCTGAAATTCTGCCCTTTCTTAAGAACCTTGATTGGTTCTCAGGTGATGGACTAAGACTTTCCTATGTTGCTAGATTATGGTTTTTGATTAAAATAGATCTGTAGTTGGATCTGTATCTGTCAATAATATGCTGTCCTCTTTTGGTTCTACACTGCGTAGTTTGCTCAGAAAACCTGTGTGTGTTTTGGAGAGGACTTTCTGCTTTATCTTCGTTGGCTGGAAGAACCGTTATCTATCTATCTAATATATATTACTCTGAACAACAAGAGTAACCCATCAGAAAACAACTTTTGCTTATTTTGTTCCATAACGGGCATCATGATACAGCTGCTCTCAGAGTGGAGTTCCTGAAACTAGTTACTTCCAAAGTCTTTTGAAATCATCCACCAGAAATGTTTTTCTTGGACTTTTTTTTTTTTGTTTGCTTTGAGAGTGAAATAGAAAATGTTTTAAGCATGGCAGTATACATCCAAGTTATACATGAAGTGTCTTAGTAGAGCAAGGGTTTAGGTGAGTCTTTTAGTTAAGATCCTATTGAGAGCTACTTAAAGTGCTGAGTTAGGAGTCTAAGATTGTATTTGTTTTAACGCTTGTATCACTCAGCATTTTCCTCTTGTTCCAACCCTCCTCAATTAGGGCAAGGAGGGAGAAACTTTGTGGTTTCAGTGCCAGCTTCCAGTGAGAACTGAATATCCTGAGATTTTTCTTCCAGCCGACTCTACCTCCTGATATTTGAAAAATGAATTTACAGCATATAAATGCTCAACAATGATTCAGGAAAGCAAAAGCGTTATTGGAAATCAGTGTGAAAATGGTTAAGGCTTACCATATGTTGGTTGTTTTTACAGGGCTCAGTAATTGTTGTCTTCTGCACGTACCTTTTGTCTTCCTCATTTTTAAATTTTGCAGCATATGCCACCTTGGTGCCTCTGGGACTCTGAGGTGTTTTTGCAGTAATTCTCCTGAAGTCCAGATTGCAGCAAGGCAGGGTAAAGAATAAATGTATCTGGTGGTGGTGGTGCAGAGAATCAGAGTTTTATTAAAGACTGGCATTTGTTTTTGGGTTGCAAGGCTGATGGCCTTAGGCTTGTTGTAGGGGCAGCATGCTCAGCCGCCTGTTAGGGGGCTACAGAGAAAACTGCTGCCACTGACAACAGTCAGTGTTGTCATCCATTCCTCTTTCTCATCAAATATTTGGAGGCATTATCCAATAGTCACCACTTAACTAAGTTTTTTTGCTCACGGTTTATAGCTTCTTCTCCCTGAAGCACATGGTGCCTGGAAGGGGCAGAAACCTGTATTAGCAGAGCAGAGACTTGGTGGGATGGAATAAAGACAACATTGTTTTGTATTCAAGAAAATACTGCCCTGTCAGATGCTTCCTCATTTTTCCATCCATGCTGTCATCTGAGCTTGCTTTACCAAACCTTCTGGCACAGGTCCTACAGCTCCCTCAGGGGAGCAGAATTAGATGTATTTGTGATAGGGAATTGAGGTATTCCGGAGACATGGCCAACTGGCTAGATCCCACGCAGGGCCAGGTGCTGGCACGGAGTTGTGGCAGCAGAACGGTGGGAGACACCTGCTCCCACCATGCTTTCCACCAGGCTCTCTGGGTGGCTTGAGAAAGCAACACTACCTTGATTTTTTGGACGGGGAGTGGAAGGGACGGAATTCTTGCTACTGGTTTTTAGGTTTCAGTTTTTGTTTCTTACATTGCTTCTGGGGAAGAATGTGTTTCTCTTCAAAGCTGTTCTCCCTAATAAGTTCTTGTTTAAGGTTCAGCTGGTGAAACTGATTTGGATGGCATATGTATAAAGAGCTGGTGCCTGGCAGGGAGTGGGGGGGTGGTTTTCAGGCTCACCAGCGCTAGTGGCTCTCCTTGTTAACTGTGCTCTAAGTCATGCAGACAGGACCCACTTCCTAGATGACTGCTGAGATGGGAGCTCTTTCTAGCAGCTCTTTCAGCTTGGAGAAGAAAGGAAGGAAATCTCCCCTTTCCAGGCTTAAGGCTATATCCCGTAGCGTTGTAGGGGACTCATATACTCAGTGGAAGGACACGTTAAGAAAGCTTTGGAATCAAGTAAATGTACTTCCAGCCTCCAGTGAGAGGCACGAGCAATGCTCCAGAACTCTGGAAAGGCTTGGAAGCGTTCGGTCTCACCTGTGTTAGGGAGCTGTGTCTCTAGCAGAGCCGAGAGAAAGCTGTTTTGAAATTGAGTCTGATCAGGTGCTATCTCTTTGTTGGGTAGAAGAGTTCATGCAGAAAATCACCTGAAGAAAGAAAATCCAATAAAAGGGAAATTATTTCTGCTGTGAAATCACTAGTCAGGCTTTTTGTGCTCCCTGCATTTCCTTGGTGGATGTGTTCCTGACAGGAGTGTGACTGCTGGCTTCAGTTGGATGCCTGCTCCAGGAGAGCCTCCCGCCCACACTGAGCGCTTTGCCAGCACATCTGAGTCCTGGCCCGGGGGAAGCTGTCCTTGTTATTTCAGCCCAGACCTCTCCTGAGAGCCAGGCTGCCAATTATGTCAAATTGTTGGTTGATGCTGTGATATGAACAAGCCTCCCTGGGGAGCTTAAGATGGGGCTGACAAACTCTCTCCAAATTGTGTTCCAGGCAGGATGTTGCCTCTGCTCTCAGGAGAATTGCTAGTGAGCATGTTGACTGCAGTTCAATATATGTTTCCCTAACATTCGTTTGGCTATTGACTTGACAAATGCCACTGCGCTAGGACTGAAGCCTCCTTTATCAGCCCTTTCACCCCTACCCCTGCAAAACGTCATCTTAGCAAGCACATCTTAGGCAGCGTCTCCCCTGGGATGCCGAAAGATGGTGAATGCTGCAGAACCCCTAGTGAGCTTGTCCTGTATTAATGCAATCTCAGTTTCTAACTTCCCTTTTGTTTTCCAGAAACGTGAAGGCCTTCTTCAGACCACTCATGTTACGGAGGAGCTCACAACTACGACAGAGTAAGTACAAAATGCTTCCTGTTTAGTGTCAGAGTGTGTCTGTGTGTGCATGATGTGAAATCATTTACAAAGACAAAGCAGAGACATAATCTTCCCTGTTACCCCTCCTAAATTAAGAAAATCCCATATGTTGCTTTTTTAACCATGTAGAAACAACTTTGTTTTTGGAAACACGTTGCAAAGCAGAAATGAGTCTTCTTTACCAGAAATGAGTCTTCTTTACAATCTTGTGTTACAAAAGCTTTTAACTGGATATTTCACTGAGAGTGACCTTTGTGTGTTTTTTTTTTTTTTTTTTTGCTACAAGTAGCCATATGTAACCAATTTTTGCCTGGTGCTTTTGCCTCTCTCAAAAATAGAGCCAGTGTAGGTATTTTGGGGAAGAATTAAACAATTCCTTGAAATACCTTTCAAAACTGGAGTGATACCCCATAAAAAGTGGGAGGAGAGATGTTCTCTATTTCATATAGCACCTCAGGAAAAAGCTCAGCAAAAATAAATTAAATAAGTAAACCTCTTCCCTCCACAGTTTTTGCAATGGTTTTACTTGGCTTTATGTTTTTACTTTTTTTTTTTTTTTTAAACAAGGAAAAGGCTAGACTTTGGCTGCAAATAAAAGCTGAGTGTCTCCTTCACACGGCCTGAAGGCGACTCTTCTAACAGGGGCTTACATGAGCCCTCCTTCAGTTTATCAGTGTATTGGCTCCCTGTAGAGTTGGCTCAGCTTTTCCTGACTTTGAAGATAAATGAAATACCATGTGGCTTGCTCAGTGGGGAAGATCCTTCAGATGGAAATGTTCAGAAATGAGATCATAACATCTCTGTGTGGACACTGAAGATCTCATAGTGGTTTTTTTGTAGGATCAGAGCTTTGCCTCAGTGTTTTGGGCCAAAATTCCTCCCTGCACTCCTGTTCTCTTCAACAGTGAATTGAGCTTGTCCTCTCCTTCAGATGTGGTTTGTTAGATGCAATCTACGCAACGGGGTTTGGGCATCTTTAGTGAGAAAGATGCTTGCAGATAGGCCTGTTGGTTTGTGCATGTGTTTTATTAAGTTGTTTAATATTATACAATATTAAGAGGTTAATATTTTAATGTGTTGCATACACAAATGTAAGTAGAGGTACAAAAAACTCCAGAGCTAGCGGGATCCAACTTTTATTGAATGCTTTCAAATTTCCCTGTGCAGATCAGGGCCTGATTCTCAGCTGATAAACATCTGCATATGTCTGGTGATGTCGTTGGCTGTGGATATGCTTCATATGTGGCTGTATTATTTACATAATATCTGGAGATGATACATGTTTTGTTGCTCCGGAGAAAACAGATTAAAATGGGATAGATAATAGCTAGCCTTGCTCATTCTGAACTGCGTGATGTAGTCTCTGCTGACTGTATTTGTGGAAACTGTACACGAAAAGATATTTGTTCATTCACTTTCCATCATAAAAATGATGATGCATAAGAAACCATAATTATGTATAGAATATAATAATTCATTTCCATTCATTTTGAATATATCTGCCTGACATCACTGGTGGTCTGCTGGGGACATTCCTGCAGCACGTTGGGTCTGGTCTGCAACATGCTCAGCCTCCTAGCTTGGTAGGAGTGGATAGCCCTCGGCATCTTGCAGGAAAAGGCCCGTTAAGCCCAGGGTCTGGTCTTTTCAAAGTGATTATTCATGAACTAACCTAGTGTTTTTGAATGCTCTGACTTGCAGGATGATGATGGGAAGATTTGGTAAGTAACAAAGTTGACTCTGAAATTTTTTAATTTATGGCAGCCACAGAAATTATGTCTCTTTGCCTTGAACAGATTTAAGACAGTGGATTGAGCAATTCCACAGGGTTGGAATGTATTACAGGGGCAGGTGTTTTACTGCATTTGGATGCGGAGCTAATGGATAGAGACAGATCATCCCGTCCTTTTGCTCTTTGAACTGGTCTCTATTGATTTGTTTTCAGTCATGTGTAATGAATGGGCACACTGCCAGAAAGGGCAAGATTTCCTAGTACCGTTCTTAGTGCTTTCAAGCAAAAATCTTGCAACACCTGACAATAAAAGATACACCTTCTTCAGGGTGTGACCATTTACATAATACATAAATGAACACATGAAAATTATTGAAGCACAAGTATATGGTAGAAGATCTGAGAAAGCTCTATTTACTTGTGCACATTTAGCCATCAATCATTCCCTCTCCTAGTCCCTTTGCATGAAGTATCTTATCCCCTCCCTGCTGACCGGGGATTTTACTAACCAGAGAACTGATCTTCTAAACAAAAAGCAAGAGTTTTAGTGTTGCTCCCGAGAGACTTCTCTTTTTGCATATAGCCTGACTCTCACTGTATTGGTTTTGTTAGTGGTATTAAATCACTTCTGTTCACCTGAGAGACATGAGCACCTCTAAAGGACTATGTGAGACTATGAGCAGGTCATTTAGTTTCTGTTTCCCAGCTATAATATGTGAACACTGTCATTTTCCTTCCCTGTGGAATCCGTGCATTAATGATAAGGTATCTGGAAAATAAGTAACGGCCAGGGAAGAGAAGGGGGGAAGTATATAACATATCCTTAGGTACCAAAAGAGTTTTGAATAATAGATAGATTTGTTTTTTTTTTTTTTTACCATTGCAAATATTAAAATGTGTTCTGCAAATGAAAAGAATGTGAGCATGGAAAAACAGTTGAAACTATGATGTTGTGACAATTTTTAACAGCTCCCCCCCCCCCCCCCAATTTTCCAGCAATGGTCTTTGATAGTTGTTTTTTGGCATAACTGCAGTTGGTTAGGGTGTTTTTTCGTGCTTTACCTGATGATTATAAACAGTTCAGTTTATAATGTCATCCAAAAAAGCTCTGTACTTGGAAAATTTCAGTCAGCTCTAAGCTGCCACAATGTGAAATACTGCACTTCTGTATTAAATTTAGTAGATCTTAAATTGGATTAGATATTGTTATACAGTACTTTGAAGGTGTAACACTTCTACAGTAATTTAAATCTTCATATTGTAGATTGGGTTAGAAAACATAGGTAAAGTAAGTTTTGCTCTTAGTACGTTGCTGCATCGGGTCTTACTCATGTGTTTGGCTTTAAGCTTAACTGAAGGCAAGGATACTACTAATATGCTTAAAATTAGCCATATGAGTATCTGATTTTGATGCTGAGTGGTCATCATGAACATAGCTATAATTATTGCTATATACTGTAGAGCACCAAAATAAGGTGATGTTCCAGTGGCCCACCGTTTAAGTTAAGATTGAGAGACAGTGAAAGTTTATGTTTCATTTTAATTTTTCTCCCATCTGCGTATTTTGTTTACAAATTATGAATGGCAGAAAAGGGGAATCAGTGAACGATATGTTTATTTTCAGTTACCCCTAAAATTCCCAGTGGAGTTTGCTCAGGCCTTTGGTTAGACGCCAAAATAGGGGGACAATTTTAGCTTGAGTCTCTGTTATGCGACTTTCTAAGACAGACCCTCAAGCTTGTGACCCATAACTTGCTTCCCATACTTGTCTGTTACAGATGTATTGATTTTTTTTTTTTTTTAATATCTTAACTTTTTAAAATTTGTTTGTAAAACCAGAGCGGGATGCCTTTGACACACTCTTTGATCATGCACCTGACAAACTCAGCGTAGTCAAGAAGGTAAAAACAAAAAACCCCTCAAATTTTGTTTTTTACATTGTTTTTTTCTTATACTTTTGAAAGATATCCAGAAAGATCTGGAAGATAGCAGAAAGTGGTTCTGAAATAATAAAACAGGATGTCTGTCCCCAGAAGATCACTGTGTCCAGAGCCGGTAATGCCTTGATTTGCTGACTGCAGTCAGGCTTGCTTGATTGTTTTGTTTCTTGGCCCAGGCTTTTTCTATGGAGCGTTGTGAGATAGACTGGCACTATTAGATTGCAGTCACATATTTTGTTTTGGCTGTGCCTAAGCAGGATGAAAAGGTTACCTTCCCCAGGCAAGTGCTTGTCATCTTATCTCCCTCCTCTCCTGCCAGAGACTTACACTTCCTGTAACAGTGTAACTGCTTCTGCAATTGCTCTGGTATCTGATTCAGTCAAAATAGAGCAGGTTAGAAACAGTTGCTCTGCAAAGTATCTGAGGTAATTTCATATCGTTCTGACTGGACAATCTTACGTGCTTTTATATCGCAGGCGCTGCCCTCCAGTGTGGAGGGGCTGGGCTGTAGGGCAATGAGTAACTGGCAGTGGTGACTTCTTTGCTAGTCAGATTAGTACATGTGTCTTCAGCCTCAGTCTCCTAAAGAAGCAGCTGAAGTTTAGTTTCCACCTCATTTTTGTACTAAAGATGTTCTTCCACAACTGGAAATTATTTTCCATAGTACCCTGCGATTGAGGAGGAATAGGTAGAAATGAGATTCTCCCATAAACATATATGTGAAATATAAAGAGTTTGAATGCCTTCATCCTAGGGCTTTTTTACTTAACACTGGCAGAATGGTCTTCTGGTCTCTCCTCCAAGGCTGAGCACCATCACACAGCACACATCTGTATACAAACATGTTCTTCACATGGCTGTTTGTAATAGGCAGAGCGCAGGGGTAAAGTAGCTGTTGATCGCTGCCAGCTTTTGTTAATGTTTCCTTCTGGAAGAGAACGGATAAAGAGGAGACTCCGTGTTATTCCGTCAGTTTGTTCCAACATAACTATTAAAATACTTAGCAGAACAGTAGTACTCAAAGATCAGAGCTGTAATTTGTCCCTTCACTTTATATGAAGCAGAGGGTGTATGCATTTAAAATAATGCTTTTAAATCCATAGAAGATTGTATCTTTCCAACATGAAATGTCTTCTAGAGAAATGTTGTAGTTAATAGAGAATTAAGTTAACTCTGTACATGTAATAACAATGTTAACATCCAGCTCTGTGTGCCTCCTGGAAGCGTTCCAAGCGGGCTGCCAGATCTCTGTGATCGGATATGTTAGTGTGTATTTATGCTGTGTTGTTACCCACCTGGCTCATAGGAGCAAGTCCTTGCCCACCTGCTTCCTGCAGGAACAGAAGTACAGAATACAGACTTGGGGACCATCCTGTCTGTAATTTGCTAATTTATACGCAGTGATCACTCTGGGAACAGGGGTGAGTGTGGAATGGGGCGCTCTTGGCATCTTCTTTTGGGAGTCTTAGCTCAGTGCTGGTGATGCTTTGTTCCTAGGCAGCAGATCTTCTCCAAGAACCTGAAGAGATTCGTGCAGACAGTAATCGCAGCTATTACTTGCTTCATCTTCACAAAGAACTTACCAAAGAACCAGTGTCCTCACAGCGTTTTCTCACAACGCTGTAATATATTTAATGTGCTAGGGAAAATAACTAGAAAGAAGTATGTAATAGCACCATCTGGTGACTTCTGCCGTATGTTGCAACAAAAATGACTGCGCTGCTGAGTTGTTTTTAATTTGGTATACTATTTATGCAAAAGCAAATAGCTCGTGATGGTATTTATTAAGCTTAAAAATGCCTCAAAAGAACGTTAACCCTTTCATCTACATAGTGACTGTAGTTTCTAACATCATTGATTCTGGTATTTTCTTTCGTAGTCTCTGATCACCTTTGTGAACAAACACTTGAACAAACTGAATTTGGAAGTAACTGAGCTAGAAACCCAGGTAGGAGATGTGATTTGTGTGTGTGTAATCTCCCTGTGTAAATTACAAATATAGGCCTTTGCTCCATAAAACCTTATTATGGAGCTGCTTGTCTTTGGATATGTGAGCTTATGAGATCAGGGGCTTTATCTGTTAAATAGCAATTATATGCATTGATGTTTGCTTCCTTTACTCATGCTTACGCATATTTTATATTGCTGATAATTTGCATTCTATGTTGTAAGGTGAAATTCTTGAATAATTAATATGGTCATGTTAATGACTGTAGAATATGGCTGGGTTTCAAGGCAATTTGTCTCTCGGATCAAAGTGGAATGCCGCAAAGCAGTTGCTGTAGTTATGGGTGGTTGACAGGTTGTGTCTTTTCTTGCCGTGAGGGTTCATGATGAGCTGGTGTAAGTTCTTAATAACTGACTGCCTGGGGCTCTCTGGAGGTGTGTGGACTGCAGCGTGCGGTTCATCATAGAGATATCATCGCTAGCTTTGATCACATCAAAGTAGGGGCTGGAAACAATTTTGTGTTTGCAGCACAGGCCTTCCTATGCTCTTTTTCACCCTGCTGTCTGGGAAGCATGTGCACTGTGCTTGCTTTTCAGCAGTGTGAATTAGTAAGTCTGAGCTCTTGTACTGCAGGGGTTTGAATGCCCTTGGTAGCTTGTTTAAAGCTTGCTGAGGTAGCTGCCAGCCACCAGTGTCTGCTCTGTAGATGTTCCCTGTCTCTCGCTCAGAACCGGGTAGTGAATATTCTTGGAAATCTCAAGCAAATGTGAATTTTGGTGGCAGTGGGGTAGTTTTCACTCTGCAGGTGAAGTTGTGCAGATTTCACACATGGTTTTGGCTATATTTTAATAATGGAAGCAAATATTCTTTCCACAGTGTGCTGAACCTTGGACACATGGTTAGCCTAGTGTCTTGGCAAAAAGGGGAGCATGGCATCTACAGAATTATTCCTGGACTATCAGTAATTGCTTAAACTCTGGCTTAGTCTAGTACCAGTCATTCACTGCTATTTTGTAGCTTTGCTGAAGCAAATGGGTGACTTTTCTTTGGATATGTTCTGTCATAAGAAATTGTTGCTTAATGCTTTGGAAGTACCAACAATTTATTTTTTTGAAAAGGATAGCGAATGCCACATGCACCATATCAGAATCACAAGTGAGAGTTCTGTTTGAAATATATAGCATCACCCTTGGCTAGCCAGGAGGTAGTCTTCTGTCTGGTAGGAGTGCTAAACAGTGTTGCTGCAAGTATTTAGTATAGAATTTAGTATTTACTGAAACGGTAAACAATCTATTTTGGGTTTGAAAAAAATTTTTTTGGTGAAGTTAGGTTTCCTACCTGTGACATGGTAGACTTAATTTCAAGTTCTGATTAAGGCCAGACATTTGATTGTCCACCTCACATGACCTAAAAGAGGGATTGTGTTTGAAATGACCATGTACTATAGTAGTAGGACTGAAAGTATATTATGTGGTAACACGTTTCCTAGGAAGTTTCTTTTTTTTTTTTCTTCAATCTACTTCAACGCTGCAATGAAGTTGGCAAGATTCCTGAAGAAAAAGTATGAGAGTGAGCAAATGCAAGAACGTACATATATACTTTGACCTCCCCTGAAGTATCTGGTAGCCTTGTAAATAGGGAACTGGCTGGAGACGCAGTAGACCTTGTTTTCGGTTGCTGCCTCATTCAACCCAAATACTCTGCCCCCCTAAGGAGTGCAAATTGTAGGCAGCTCCCGGGTGAATTACTTTTGATTTCTTCTGCTTGGAGCTATTTGCTGTATGTAAGTAATTTGAATAGTCTTTGACACATGATCTTGAACGGGTTAATGTTATAGCTCTTGGGCTTCCTTGTTTTACTCAGGAAATGTGAAATAACGCTACCAGATGTAGAGAGAAAGCCTGGTATCTTGTGTTAGGGTTTTGTCAGATTTAAAAAAAAAAAAAAGAAAGAAAGCAGCTATATCAACAGGCTCCAAAGAACAGACTGATTCAGCTTGCTCAGCTGAACTGGTAATTGCATAGGTATGGGTGGGTCCGGAGAGCAAATGAAACAAAGCCCTAAATGCTTCTACTACACTTGCTGTCAATTCCTTGTTATGCCTGAAAGGAGTAATCTGTGCCTCCTGAGCTGTCTTATATCTCTGTGCTAGCAAACAAAAGCGGTAGGAATCGGGGTAGCTAGTTTGGGTCAAGCATTTTTTGTTCTACTTGCTTATGAGTACTTAACTTGGAAACAGATGCCTCCACCTAGGAATGTCATCAGTATTTCTGTTTAGTTTGCAGATGGTGTTTACTTGGTATTGCTCATGGGTCTCCTTGAAGACTATTTCGTTCCACTTCACAACTTCTACTTAACGCCTGAAAGTTTTGATCAGAAGGTGGGTAGAAATTCCAGGTTATATTCTTTTTGCTCTGTTACCACACATGGTATTTTCCATTCACTGGGTCCTCCTTTCTCTTTGTGCACATTAAATCAGAGCCTGGCGTATTCATCTCTTTAGGAGCTGTAGCAAAGGTGCTACAGCTGTAGCTTGATAGTTAATAGAATTTGTACTTCTAAAAGTTATTTGTGAAATCAAGTGGTAAATCTCAGTAGTTGAGAAAGGTTGTCTGTTACTTGCATCAGATGACACATAATGTTCATGAATATCCAGAAGGAATAAATCAGTAAGCGCTTTGTACTGTAGAGCACTTTGCATAGTGAAAGTGATTTATTTACTTAAATGTTTTCTTTAAATTTAGTACTGCTTGAAGTCCTTTTGTGCTCGGGGTGCCTTACTGTGCTAGACATGAGAGTCAAAGCCTGATCTTGCCTAGTATTTACTATGTAAACAGGCAAGAAAGACAAAAGGCGAGGGATGGGAAGCTGTGCTTTATCCCCATTCTTTACACTGGGACTGACATGGAGATAGAGTAGGTGTCACAGAATAAGTCAGTCCTGAAAACTAACCTCTGATCTCATGAGTATCTGTTGCCTAACAGCTATCAGTTCTTTTTCTGTAGTTTCCTTAATGTTCTTACAAACTAAGTGAATAAATATCTTTACTTGATATACAAATGAGATGCTACAGTAGCGGAGGTGGTACCTGGGCCGTGATCTTTGGTTGGACTGGGGTTAGAGCCTGTGTGCTGAGTGCGGGGGAGTAACCTGTTTGGTACCTGGTCCAGAGCCAGGAGGGAGGGCCTGGTCCTGCCAGGGAGGGAGGATGCAGCCAATTACCTGTCTAAAGTCAACTTGTGAGTGTAGAGATCTGGTTTTGTGTCCAGCTCTTGGCAGCAGCATCACCAGCATTGCTGACTTTAAATTTAGAGAGAAAGTTCTAGCTTCTCATTTTCAGTTTTTTCCTTCTGTTTGGTAAGGAGTGAATAACTTGCTTTCTTACAGTGTTTCAGACAAAACAAGCTTTGAGGAAAAGGAGTGCATTCCCTGCAGTCTTAGGATCAGAGTATTAGGGATGGAAGGGGAGAAAATAAGCATCTTGCTCTTAGCCCCACACTTGTTCCACTCTCCTGTGTCATTTCCTAGTGTTAATGATGAGACGGTTGTTTAACCAGTTGTTAGGCAGCAAGCATACTTTATTATCATGACCAAATGTTCACCTCTTCCTGCAGGTGTTCCAGAACGTGCACACGCATCTGTGTATATTTGGTGCCTGGTACCAGGATATTCTGAGCCTGACTTCAGTGTAGATCATTGCTGTCAAGTGCTCCTTGGCAATTACCAGCTGTCTGAGCAACAGGGCTTTAGCATTGGTGGAATAATCCAGCTTTGCCTGAGTGGATCATATCAGCATTGCAAGAGGGAATTAGGTTGTGCCAAACGGGTGCTGTTACAGTCCCAGGCTAATGTGCTGAGCCTGCTGGTTGTATGGATTATGCAGGGTTAGTTGACTTCCTCCGTAGATGGCTAGCTGCCATTTGGGAGCTTGAAGAGAGGCTCCCTGAAGTCAAGAGATGAAACTGACGTGAGAGGCCTCTCTGTGTGTTAAGTTTGTGTATAGTATGGGGAATAGTTCGTTTTGAATGTTGAACGCCGTACAGGAACTTCGTAGAGCAGTAGGGAGAGTGCTTATCTAATGAACTCTCTTGAACAAGCTCTCCGTTATAGCTTTTGCTTCCTTATTTGTGACAGTGGCTTGTATTTTCCCCCTTGTAGACATGAAGGATGCTGAGCTGTAGCCAACACCTGTTCAGTCAAGGTTTTATTGTTAGTTGTTAAATTCATAAGGGTTATCCAACATTCCTGAAGCTATGTTGTGTTTTTGTGAGGAGTCTTTGCTGTGAGGAAAAGGAATATGTAAATAGAGGTGAGTAACTGAGGTAGACTTTGCTTTTTGGGGGAAAGGAAAGAAAAACTTAATCTTGAAAGTGATTAGTTTTGTCACAATGAGTGAGGAGAAACTGGAGCAGAAGAAAAGAGATTAATAAAGTCCTGAGCAATAAATGTCAGTGGAAGGGGCCTTTCTTCATCTTGTTGCAGGGGAGCTTTTATGCATAGCTCCCTGATTTCCAAGATAAGTAGGTTTAATTAAATTTCTCCCCCTTGCTATGTATCTCCAGACCTGTCCTTTGCAGGAACAAAAATGCACAGAATTCATAATGCAAATTACCTTGCTTAAATTTCAGTAAGCATGGAAAAGAAAGCTGCTGTGCAGTTTTTCTCCTTAAACCAATGTTCCTTCCTCAACAGGTATCTTCTCTTAATCTCACCTTGCATTTTTTTGTTTTATTCTCTCTGACTTCATGTTCATGATGGCTTCATCCTTTGCTGACACAGTTGTGACTAGCTTGTTTTGGGGGTTCACAGTCTTTACATGAGCTGCCACCATCAAGCGTTTCTCTGACATTCATTGGAAGAACTTGACTTGACTTGTATTTCCATTTTCAAGGAGGGGAAGAAAGGCACAAAGAAGCTAGGGGATTTGCGCAAAGTCATCCAACAAACAGCCTTGCTCCTTGCTGATGCTGTGCAGAGCTGATACTGCTTGGTATATCGCTAATGATAATGCGGAAAAGATTAACTGTATTTTGAAGTATTCTCTTTTGTGTTCCTCTTGCTTTATGTGTATTTTTGTCATCCCTGTTCTGTTACATCACTTTGGTTAGGTTGCTTGTTGCAAGTGATCTGCTGCAATGAAGTTTGAAGGCTCTGTTCCAGGTCTTACTAGGAGTTCCCTGGCCTCCACCATAGTGGCTCTGCTGGGGGCCTAATGGGATTTCCCAGTTCATGCAGTACCCAGTCACAGTTTATATGCTTGAAATTTGGGAATCTTACTTTGTATCAAAAATAATATAATGATTATAATGCTTATGATAATGATCTATAATGATATAATATTTATTTTCTTAGTCTCTCGCAGCTACTTTTTGCCATGCTCAAACATGTAAATTTTGATTTAAATAGAATGGTAATTTTATGTGTCGGAGGAGAGAGAATAAAATATCTTTTGATTTGATTTGAACTTTTTAATGCCTATATTACTTTGGGATTTTAAACAGTTTTCCTTTTTCAGGTCCATAATGTTTCCTTTGCTTTTGAGCTGATGCAAGATGGAGGACTCAAGAAACCAAAAGCTCGCCCTGAAGGTATGGATATGACATGTGGCTTTAAATTGTTTAAAAAGACATGCTAAACTGTATATCAAGACATGCTAGCAGTTACATTTCAAGTGCAGCTCCATTAAAGACAGTAGGGTCAGAAAGTGTAGCTGTTAGTGCCCGCGTTGACAGTTTTCTAAAGGATTCATTATCTGTGTGATATGTCCTTACCTGTGTTTCTTACTGGAGTAGATCCCCTAAGGTGCATAATTCTAGTTTTAGTGAATGATCCAAGAACTGTTCGGTGCTGTATTGTAAAATTCGCTGGCATTCTCAGTCACAATCCTGGTGGGAAGCTTTTCATGCTGTAATTCTCATCATTGTTATACTTGATGCTAGTATGGACTCTTGTGATCCGATTACAGTGACAGATAACTGAAAGTCTTTTCTTAGAACTGGTAGTATACTCTCTTATTGGTTTATGTGGTCTTAAGGGTCAGAAATGAATGGTGTGAAAACTGATGCTTTGCCTTTAAAACCTCTGAATTAATGATGAGGTCTGCAGCCATTGCTTGTGCTGGGGCTAGAAAGAGGAATTAAAACTTTCTGATTGCCAGCTGAGCAGTTTTTTGTTCTTAGTGATACAAACTACATGTGTGTTAGAGGCTTCTGCAGAACGTACAAAAAACCAGGGAGCTCCTGAGGGATGTTTGCTCTGATTTAAAATGAGGTAAAGTTGCAGCAGTAAATAGATTAACAAATAATGGAGCTGGTTGTAGTGGGGAAAAAGGCAAAAGACCGTATTAAATGTATGTGTGTCCTGTCAGTGCTGTTCTTCTAAATTTGTGTGTGAAAAGTGCTACTGAAGAAGAATTGAATGAAATAAGGGCACTACCTTGGGAGGCCAAAACTGGAGGAACATTTCGAGTGTTGGAGCTGGTTCCATGGGTTTATGAGGAGGAGGAGGATGGAGAAATATGAATGCAGGGTCAGGAACAGCAGTTTTTTGAGTGGAAAGGTTAAAAAGACTGTAATAAGAGACCAGGTGAGTTAAATAAGCCTAGAAGAAGACTTGTCTAGTTGAAAGCTTGCCTTTTTGTTTTGTTTTGTTTTCATCAGTTGATCTAACAGAGGAGACTGCCTTCCTGTAAGGCAATGTTATGTACACCCTTACACTACTGTGACTGAACAGTATTGCAGGTGGTGTTTGGTTTGCTCGAGACACGGTGTGTGGATTCAGTAAGCAGCAGAATATCAGTATTGTTATGACTGCCATTCCCACTGGCAGAAGCTCACAGCTGTTGGAGCGAGTGTGCTCGTGTTGTGTATGGGACTGGCATTGCCTGTAAGAGAGACTGTTATTCTTGAAGAACTGCTTCTGCAAAAAGTTCTGTGGGTGGCATCCTCTGTGTCTGCTGCGTGGATCTATTGTTCTGTCCTGGACAGGCTGGAAAACGTGTTTGTTCGATCTGTGTTCTTCAGTGTGAATTGGATAGTAAAGGCCTCTTGAATTACTTGCTGTAGGTTTTTCATCACAAACATTGCGTAAAGCAAAAAATTGCAATTTTCATTTCTATAGCCCATGCTTTCTGCATTGCTTACAAGAAACAGGTCTGGTTTAATGTTTTAGTGTGTCTTGCTACCAGTGACGTACAAAAATAGGAGCATATAGGCCAGATGCTGTTCTCTGTTCTTCCAGCCCGATTCAATGGATTGAGTCAGCAGCAGAACCTGATGCTGAATTATTACAGCAAGAGTACATTTTAATGCATTGATTTATTAACCTCTAAAGGGATTGCGATGGAGTGTAAAGTTTTAAATTAATGGAATATTTTAAAATACTTTGATTTATAGCTACTTTCAGTTAACATTTTATTAGTTATTGTTGGTAATGTTATGAGCGTGCATGCTTCATCTTAAAATAAGAAAAGGGAGGTTGAGCGTATGCTTATTCCTGGGAATGCCTATTAGACACTGATCAATAGGGAACACTGTAATCACCCACACAGGGAGGATGCAACTCACGCTACAGTACTCCTTAATGTAGCAAGCAAAGGCATAACAAGATCTGAAAGTCAGGAAGAAGTCAAACTAGCATTACGGTATAACTTTTGCAACAGTGAAGGTAATGGACCATCAGTCTGAATTGTCAAGGGATGTAGTTGGAATTTCCACCACTGAAAGATGTAGAAAAGAAAAAAAACTCTCCAGTTTTAAGCTTATATTTTTAGTCCAGCCACAGCTTGTTTAATAAGTTCAATATAGTATTTATAAGGTGAAGGTCTCTGAAGACTGCATTTTACATAAGACGAGACTGCGTGACCCCAGTAGTTTCTTATGACCCTAACCGTGATGTGTCATTACACTGCCGAGTAAAAGAGCTGTGTCTGGTCCCTCCTTCAGCAGGGACCATACCTCTGACTCCTCAGAGATCACCGGTGGAGATCAGCAGCAGGTGCCGTAGCTCCAAATGCTGCTGGAGGCTAGAAGCCAGCCTTAAATGCCTCCAGCAACGTTGTGAGGCTGGATGGAAGGTACCTGCCCAGTGCAGTGCTGCTGTGCTGGGACCTCTGCCTGAGCCTGAGCCAGCCTTTAGTCCTCACCCCGATGCTCCACTGCTCCATGTGCCTGGCTGCCCTCTCTGTAGGACATGCCCTGATTTCCTGACCGTCCTTCGGCCTTCCAGCCATATTTCTTCTCCACCATCTAGATTTAACTTGCTCTCTACTGGTATCTTGACCTTGGTTTGTGCATCAGCCAGAGGCAGCAACTGAACCCTGCGAGACCTGATCGCAGCACTTCATGCCCTGGCAGCTGGTGCTGGTGGTGGCAGTGGCTCATGGAAAAAACCCATCTTGCTTTCAAGGGAAGATGAGTACCAAGGAGAAAAGACAACCATTTGGGAGGAGTGGGGCAAATACCCTAAAAATTCCTGAATGTTTAGTACTCTCTGGCCATTACTCCCTCATTTGGAGGTGGCTGTTTGGGCAATTTTTTGACATTTTCATGGTGTCCGAACTACTTTGTTTAACTATTTTGCAAATCAAAGTGGTTGTGAGCATCAGTGGGTCAAATCTGCCAGATATTTGCCTTAATTTCCCAGCTATAGAATGGGTAGCTGTTGGGAAACAGTTTCCCATGGCTAAATTTACATTTTAAATCTGTCTCTGAGGTAACTGGGTCTAGGTGTAGAAGAACCAATGCTGATCCTGCCTGTTTCAGGCTGTTATCTTACTGGGAATGCTCTGATAGTAAGCAGCTTTCTATGAACCCTGGAAAACTTAGAAATATATTTCACAGTTCAGTTATCTAGGTAAAATGTCTCTTTCTTCAGGATGCATTATTTCACAGCAGTTAGTCTTTGGGGCAGCAGAAGGTTCTGTTGCAACATATAAAATCATAAAAGAGAAAGATAAAATAATATAGTAAAAAAGGCAGAAAGAAAGGTTTGAAAGGTGACTGAAAATATCAGATGAAGTGGAGAGGTCATAGACTGTTATCCAGTATGGGGTGAGGGGGAAAGGCAGGGAGGCCCTGGCAGTGGTTCTTCAAAACAGGCAGTAGGTGTTTTCCTCGGTCCTCACATTAATTACATGTAGTCTGTTAACTGTTTTTTGTCCTCTTAGTTCCTCGAGTGTTTTTTAAAACATCTTTTCTTCTTAATTCTGTTTCCATAGATATTGTTCGCTGTGTATTTTTACTTCCTCCTCCTCCTTCTTCCTTATCTATTTACCCTTTCCTTTCGCCTCTTTGGCTTCTCTGTGTTTTGCCTTCTCCCCTACAGTCCCTGGATTACATGTCTGTGGTATTTCCTGATATTTTATTATAGTAATAGGATGGGACGTGCTAGCAGAAAACCTTTTGTGGAGAGCTACCAGAACTGTCTAGCATGGTAAGAGTTATTAGGGTAATATTAGAAAATGATTGATAATAGAAAACTCAGAGTCTGCTAGGGGAATTTAAATTTTGTTTATTTGCCGATTATATGATTGCAGAGTTGCTGGCACGTGAGGTTCAGTGCCGCACATGATGTGTGAAGTTACCTGCTCGCTGCTTCTATGGCTAGTGCAGTCATTGGTGAAAACTCAGAAGATACGATACCAATGACGTTGTTGCCAGGAGCGAGTATTTCCAAAGCCCTTATCCCAGGCCTCAGACAGAAGCGGCCTTCCTCTGTGACTAAATTTAGATGGGGAAGGGAAGATAGGAACTACCTTTCTTCTGTTTCCCAGAGAAGTTTAGCTGTGACTGTCGTATCATGAAGGTGTTTGAAGCGCATCATACGGACAAATTTAAAAAGCTTGACTTGGGGAGATCACACCTCTGTGGGTTTTCTGTTGCTGTTCTTACAGACTCAAAGACGAGAAGGCTTTTGTTCCTTTGATGGCAAACAAGGAGGGAGAACTAGAAGCAAATTAAGAATTTCTGCTTTTTTTTCCACAGATGTTGTCAACTTGGATCTGAAATCTACCCTCAGGGTTCTGTACAACCTCTTCACAAAGTACAAGAATGTCGAGTGATCCTGGAAGCTGCCGAGGTGTTCATCCTTGCAACCTCTTTAGGAAAAAAATACAATAAAAACACCTTCTGCGTGCTCCCTTTGTGCCTTATGCTATACTTCATGCATTCTTTCTGCTCTTGATGTGGTCTTTCTCTAGCTCCTTGTATGACGATCCCACTAAAAATAATGCATGTGTATTCTGTAGGTCACTTTTGAAAAAGCGTTGATATTTCATACTTTTGCCAAAAGACACTGTTGAGTCTATTGTGCGTTACGGTCAGCAAATGTTCTTCTTGTGATAAAGGAAATATACCACTAACTAATTTAATAAGCAGGGAAAACATGAGAGCTTCCTCATGACTGTAGCCTCTTTGATGATATGCTAGATTTTCTTTTGCAAATTTCTTGGTTGCTGTTGGCATGGCATTGGATAATTTTTCGGGCTTAAGTGCTAGCAATAGAAAATCAACATTGGAATTTATTTAGAAGCTGAGCCTTTTCTGTTAAATAAGGGTTTTGTATGTTCTCCTGGGAGGTGGGGGGGTTACAGGCACCATATGAAGCTACCTAGCAAAAGCCTTGAAGGTTTCTTCAGTTTTTGTGTTAACCTCATACTACCCAGTGTTATTTCCATTCAGTGTTTACACAGAATAAGTCTTGCAATGGGATGACCATCTAATCATATCTGCTTTTATTTCTTCTCCTTTGCAGGAGAGATTTGGTTGCTAAGGCTGCAGTCATTCTTTAAGTGTGCAGCTTGAATCAGGTTAGTCGGGAACTAGTCAAATATGCATACACTGGATTAATGCATTTCCCCCCCAGTCATTTCCAAAATGTGTGTGAGGATTAATGACTGTTATTGACAGCTTGATGGTTTGAAGGC